CAGGAAATTTTTGACCTTAACGAAATAAGGAGGTAGATTGGCTCAAATTAAGAAGAAAGGATCTCTATTGTTTTGTGATTGTCGCAATAATTAACGAAAAATTAAATAAAGAAGATCGGCCAATGCGCGTGGCTAGAAGCACACGACGGCGAAGGCGGTCTAACTGTAACATAATGGCGGCGCGCGGCGAAGCGGTGATTAGGGATGGGAGGAGCCTTCGCTACGCGTTTATACACTCATCGCACCTCCTCTCCCCAATCACCGCTTTGCCGCGCGCCGCCATTATGTTATAGTCAGACCGCCTTCGCCATCGTGTGCTTCTAGTCACGCGCATTGGCCGATCTTCTTTATTTAATTTTTCGTTAATTATTGCGACAATCACAAAACAATAGAGATCCTTCCTTCTTAATTTGAGCCAATCTATCTCCTTACTTCATTAAGGTTAAAAATTCCCTGCCACCTTGTATATTGGATGCTATAAAATTTTATTAAAATAAACACTTATTAAGATAAAATTTTCTAATAATAAGAATACGTATACATTTGCACATTATATCTATTATATCTATTATATCTATTTCTCTGTAAATAAAGTGAAAGAAATAAAAAGATGTTATATTTTTTGCCGAATTTTAGGCAAAATTAAAGCTTGGATTTGCAGCATGGAGACTTGAAATACATTTGTGGCATAACGAAACTAACGCCGATGATTATTTTGAATGTTTAAAGCAGAAACTCACAAAGTGGAAATGTATTATATCTGATGTTTCATGCAAAATAAAGGCTTCTCTTGATACAATGGTATCTGAAAAATCCTGAACAAAAGTAATTCTTTTTGTGATACTTGATTCTTTATAGCACCATTGTTTATAGGACTATTGTGCATATGTTAGAGATATTAATTATAACTTATGTCAAACATTATTACAACAACATTTATGTAATATTAGAACAATTAGTATAATTTCATTAGAAGATATTCTTTTCTAGATTTCTGTAGATTTTTGCGCGGACAGAAAAGATGGACATATTGTAATGGTTTGCGATGGGCAGATTCTTTATGGCATACAGTTTTTGATAAATACATGAAAGAATTGGATCATACAATTTTAGAATGTCTCGTTTACAGTGAAAATTCTGAAATCATAATTAATTATTTAGAGAAAAAATTACCAGAAATTTTTGCCATGCATTTGTATAATTTACCTTATCAGCATCGCTTTAAATCAACAGAATCAATTGAAGTTTTAATTGCTAATATTTTTCTTTTTACTATTGTTCGGGATCGCGCTTTCGATTCGCGAATTTTGTAAGACCGGGTAAGCGCGATTGAACTTTGCCGGCACATACCCGCGGGGGTATCGCAAGCTCTCTCAGTGCGTGATCGCGTAAGGAATACTTGATAGGAATGAAATGATCTGCAGTTGCGACTTAATGTGTTACAGTAAGACCGGTGAGCGAATTACTGTCCGTTTATTGTTAAAGTCACAAAATGATACACGTTTGCTGGTCTCAAGACGCGATGTAGGGTGAGAGCGCACCACTACGCGGATCGCGTGAGAGCGAGCGAGACAGCTATCGATCAGCTGTTAGCGAGATCGAGCGAGACGGCGCTATATCGGCCGTTCGCTTGAGAGCGAGCGAGACGGCGCTCTATCAGCCGTTCGCGAGAGAACGAGCGAGACGGCGCTCTATCAGCCGTTCGCGTGAGAGCGAGCGAGACGGCGCTATATCGGCCGTTCGCGTGAGAGCGAGTGAGACGGCGCTATATCGGCCGTTCGCGTGAGAGCGAGCGAGACGGCGCTATATCGGCCGTTCGCGTGAGAGCGAGCGAGACGGCGTTATGCCGCTCGGATAAGAGTTTGAGCGAGACCGCACTATACACGTCAGTCCGCTGGTCCGATATAGATAGAATGAATATTGCTATCTGCGAATGCGCGAACCGCACTGTTCACGACTTGACACAAATGCGAGAGAGACGGCGTTATGCCGCTCGTACTAGAGTTCGAGCGAGACCGCACTATACACGACTCGCCACGAATGCGAGAGAGACGGCGTTATGCCGCTCGTACTAGAGTTCGAGCGAGACTGCACTATACACGACTCGCCGCGAATGTGAGAGAGACGGCGTTATGCCGCTCGTACTAGAGTTCGAGCGAGACCGCACTATACACGTCGGTTCGCCACGAATGCGAGAGAGACGGCGTTATGCCGCTCGTACTAGAGTTCAAGCGAGACCGCACTATACACGTCGGTTCGCCCAATTTTGAGATAGATAGCTGACTTGTGGCTATCTATGAATACGCGAAACCGCACAGTTCACGGCTCGCCACGAATGCGAGAGAGACGGCGTTATGCCGTTCGTACTAGAGTTCGAGCGAGACCGCACTATACACGTCGGTTCGCCACGAATGCGAGAGAGACGGCGTTATGCCGTTCGTACTAGAGTTCGAGCGAGACCGCACTATACACGTCGGTTCGCCACGAATGCGAGAGAGACGGCGTTATGCCGTTCGTACTAGAGTTCGAGCGAGACCGCACTATACGCGACTCGCCACGAATGCGAGAGAGACGGCGTTATGCCGCTCGTACTAGAGTTCGAGCGAGACCGCACTATACACGTCGGTTCGCCCAATTTTGAGATAGATAGCTGACTTGTGGCTATCTATGAATACGCGAAACCGCACTGTTCACGGCTCGCCACGAATGCGAGAGAGACGGCGTTATGCCGTTCGTACTAGAGTTCGAGCGAGACCGCACTATACGCGACTCGCCACGAATGCGAGAGAGACGGCGTTATGCCGTTCGTACTAGAGTTCGAGCGAGACCGCACTATACACGTCGGTTCGCCACGAATGCGAGAGAGACGGCGTTATGCCGCTCGTACTAAAGTTCAAGCGAGACCGCACTATACACGTCGGTTCGCCCAATTTTGAGATAGATAGCTGACTTGTGGCTATCTATGAATACGCGAAACCGCACTGTTCACGGCTCGCGGGAGAGTGAGCGAGACGGCGCTCTATCGGCCGTTCGCGTGAGAGCGAGCGAGACGGCGATCTATCAGCCGTTCGCTTGAGAGCGAGCGAGACGGCGCTTGGTCGGCCGTTCGCGTGAGAGCGAGAGAGACGCCTAGTTCGCTTGAACGGAGCTGCGGTACGACGAAGGCTCCGCCTCTTGCCGAGAGTGGAGGCGCTCCGAAAGATCCCGGCACTCGCGTTTGAACTGTTCACGTGCACTGCGGACACGATTACTGGCGCGCACAATGTTACTTCGCGAAACGGTTACAATGATTGAGGCTCGCGGTTGAAGGATTTCACACGCGTGAGACTAATGAAACGAATCTTAACTTTGCTCGTTAAGATTCGCGAACTCTCGAATTTGCACTAATTTTACTCTCCGTATGACGCTCCGATCACTATGATGGAAAACGGAAGACTCTCGGGGAGAAAGCCTTTCTCCCGATAGATAAAGATTTGATCACGGATCGTATGATCGGAACTCGACGTATCCCTGATCATTACGTCAGATCGCGTGATATGTAAGCCTGTTTATTGGCCAGGACCGTGTATTATTTCGCGTGATCACGCGGATCCTGGATGATTTTTGAAAAACAGTAACGGCGTACGTGAACGCGGGTTCGATAGCGCGCAAACGGATGGCGCTAGTATGACCGGGGGTAATAATTTTATGCGCGATTTAGGGCAAATCCTAAACAACTATTATGAAAAATGCCAAGTTCATGCTTAAAAACATATTAAATAACTTCCAAAAAATAAAATACAGGTAATAATTGTTGAATGAACATATATTACTCACAGACAAAGATATATTACATACATAGGCACATGAAAATTTATTGAATTAATTATAATAAATGTATTGTTTTGTGCTCATAGATTAGTCAATGAGATTGCAGCATTAATTGTTATAATTAACAATGTGTATTCTGAAAAACAATTAGACGAGGTAAATTTTAATGAATCAGAACTCCATACATTTGTTATGACTTATTATAAAACATATTTAATTAAACATAAATGTAATGAAACAACGGCAATAAGAGCTAGCGCAGGTTTTTTGCATATGTTTATACACAGTAGTGTACTATTTTTTCGATTACATTAAATCAATTTAAATATTTTTTCGATTACATTTAATCAATATAAATAACGTGTACGTTTCGATGCTTTTTTGGGCCATCTTCAACACAGCAAATAGAATGATAAACAATAAAAACCAAAAACAATATAACTTTCCATCGTTAACAAGATCTATCCTGGTCAAATAATAAAAAATCGCACATCATTGTCACAATTGTCATGTTGAAGTTCGAACCCTCCATGATTGGAAGACCAAAGAGGTATGAAAGTTGGTCCATGTTAAAGTCGAAAATTAACTAAAAGTCAATGATTAAAAGGTGATCAACCCGAACACTGCAATATGTGGTAAATAGAATAGATAGGTGATAAAAAACTTATGATAAATCAAGATATACGAATATTCAGTTATTTAAAATACGTCGTTCAATTTATCGTTGCATTCCGGTGTCAGTCTACGAACCATTTTTTATTAAACAGTCTGGGCCGTTACATATTTTCCGTTATAGAAAAAGAATTAGATTCCATAAGAAATTCAATCATTTGTTGGCAAAAACTAATACCATTGATAACGGTTTCGACACCGGGCATATCTGTTATCTTTGTCATACTCCATCTCACAATCAAGCAATAAAAACCGGGAGAAGACTTAATTCGAAATTTTCTCTTAAACCTCTAAATAAGGAAAATGCACAGAATTCCTTTTAAAATAGAAACTACTAGTTTTAAAGAAAATCAACACTTCTTTAACATCGTTAAAGGTTGGTTTGTGAATTTATCTTCCACGTCGATTCCTGAAGATATCCAATCTCTTCTCCAATTAAAAGATAATTTTAGTTTACCGTTCACAGACCCAGCAAAACTCACAACCGAATTTATTAAAAACATTGAGAACAATATTAGATGCTTGTCTACGGGTGAGCAAATGATCATTAGAGATAGGTCTTCGCGGATCATCAAGGGATTACCATCATATCTACCACCATATTCTGCCATTCACGCTAGTCTTCATCAATTATATATAAAGACAAGGAGATTTCTGAATAATAACCTTAATTTAATGTTAACAAGAGTCGACAAAGAGAACCTTAAAGTAGCATTGGATAAGGATAGTTACATCACAAGAATAGAAAGCATGCTAAGCGATAGAGAGACTTACAACAACCTCAAAAAAGATCCTATCAAAAAACTCTCTAATCAGTTACGAGATTTGTTAAGTAGGTGGAAGAAATATAATTATATTTCGAATTCTTCATACAGAGCATTATATACTAGCGATGGGATTTTACCTAGGGCTTATAGCCTTTCAAAAATACATAAAATTGAATGCCCCTTTAGACTAATTGTTTCCTCTCTGAACAGCCCGCTATACAATCTAGTAGTCTCTTTACACAAGATTATAGTCAAGAGTTTCCCTTTAACACGTAGCCATGTTGCTAATAGCTTTCAATTAGTTGAACGATTATCTGACGTAATTGTTGAGGGTAGGCATACGTTGATTTCTCTGGATGTAATCTCTCTCTTCACCAATATTCCCATTGATTCAGCTATTGACAGGAGGTTGAAAGGAGGTGGAATTTTATTATTGATAATTGTTCCATTTCTCAACCTGAATTCATCTCAGCAATCAAATTTATTTTGAACTCGACATTTTTTATTTTCAATAATAATATTTACCAACAGATTTATGGTACTCCCATGGGCTCCCCTTTGTCTCCAATTATTGCGGATATTGTATTACAGGACTTGGAGGACAGAGCTCTCTGGCAAATTTAAAATTTACTGCATCATTTTACGTCAGATATATTGATGATGTGGCTCTATGTGTCCTTTCGATGTCAGTGAATGATACTTTGAACGTTTTTAATTCACTTCATCCAATTCAATTAACTCTAGAAGTGGAGAAAAATAACAAACTCAATTTTCTAGATGTCACTTTGATTTTGGACAATAGTTACTTGATATTGGTCACCAACTTTTTCGGGTAAATATCTCAACTTTTTGCCTCAACACCCTCTTTGTCAAAAAAGAAAGGTATAATAATTGGGTTGACCGATAGAGCCTTCTCTCTTTTTCAACCTCACTTCCATCAAAAAAATTTTAACTATATTGTTCGGATTCTTTTAAATAATAACTATCCGTTAAAATTTATATTCCAAACAATATACGAGCGCTTGAAGTATTTAATTTATAAATGAAATGATATAGGTAAAACCATAGATGATAATAACGATAAACCTGTTAGATATTTTACTGTGTTCTTTTTACCATCAGTCTCAGAAAAATTTAGTTATATGTTGAGAGACATTGATAGTGTAAAATTTCTTATTTTAGTGTTAATAAACTAAACAAATTCATTAAAGGTCATAAAGATCCCCCATTGATGGCCGTATTGAGAAATATAGTATAAGTATAAGATCGAATACAAAGATTGCAATGCATTTTATGTAGGCCAAACAGGTAGACAATTGCACACTAGAATCGAAGAACACAACATATAACTATTGAACATATAACTATTGAACAATAGAATTCTATTTAACAATAGAAATACTTCGAGTCGCTTTGTTATTACAGATCACAGGTTGAGTATAAGTCATGAGTTTAAGTCATGAGTTTAAGTGGGATGAAATTGAGGTCCTGGATAATGAACCGATTTTTCATAAGCGCTTCATATCAAAAATGCTTTTTATTAAAAGACAAAATAATGGTTTAAATGTGCAGAGTGGCATCGAATGCTTACATCACAATTATACATCAGCTTTAAGCAAGCTTTCAAACATTTGAATTTTGTCTTGACTATTTACGTGTCTTTAGTACATTGTAAGTTGTTTACCAGCTCGGTCGAAGATTATAACATTTGTTCCTCTTATCACGTTAATATCATCCATTTTATTGATATCTATTTATATTCTACATGCACATTGATTTATCATAAGTTTTTTATTACCTATCTATTCTATTTACCACATAATGCAGTATTCGAGTTGATCACCTTTTAATTATTGACTTTTAGTTAATTTTCGACTTTAACATGGACCAATTTTCATACCTCTTTGGTCTTCCAATCATGAAGGGATCGACCTGCGACATGACAATTATGTGCGATTTTTTATTATTTAACCAGGATGAATCTTGTTAACGAAAGTTATATTGTTTTTGGTTTTTATTGTTTATCATTCTGTTTGCTGCGCTGAAGATGGCCCCAAAAAAGGCTGCGTTATTTATATTGCGTTATTTATAAACATACGCGTTATTTATATTGATTAAATGTAATCGAAAAAATACTTAAATTGATTTAATGTAATCGAAAAAATAGTACACTACTGTATACACATGTGCAAAAAACCTGCGCTGGCTCTTACTACCGTTGTTCCATTGTACTTATATTTAATTAAATTTTTTTATATTAAATTTACTTTTTACTATAATATTGTAACATATTTTATATAAGAACGTAATTTAAATCGATCACACTGGCAATTTATTGATTGGTACAGTATCACAACGTTTCGACCATGGATTCGACCATTTGGTCCTTATCAAATGAAAGTATCTTAGTTAACCAATATATTGTGAGAAAAGGAGAAATCACTATGTCAAGATTCCGTCATGTCAATCTTTCGATCAAACACAAAGAGAAAGACATTAATAATATTTTATATAATCTTCTTTTCTAATTCTATTTATAATCATACTTCGAATGTGTGATAATGAGGCAATTACAAGATCATTTATTCCTGACAATTGTTAAAATTTTTTTTAGATAAATGCATTTATCAAAAATGAGATTATAGAATCCAGGTATTCCTTTAAAGCTTTTGATTATTTTGAAAGCAAGCTGGCAACACGGTTGGAGATCAAGAGACAGATAAAATATTTTCAGTTTTTATACAATTCTTAAAAAACTAGATTTATAAAACATCGAATTGTTTACAAATATCACAAATATATTATGTTTGAAATAATAATATTTATGATAATATTTATAAATTTATATATATAATAAATCACTATAATAAATATCAAATCAAGATAATTATTTACTTTAGAGGAGCAACCTCTGATGACCTTGACCTTGACATATGTTATAATGTCATCCTTCTGAGTAACCTTCAGATGGTTTTAGTCATCGCTCGTGATTCGTTGATAAATTATCAACACAAGAAATTATAAATAGAATGTAAATTTTATTGACATCGTGAAGATAGAACTATAGTATATATAACCTGAATATAAACATGAATTGTAGTCTCTGCAGAATTCTCGATTTTTATTTATTGGGACCTTGAATAAGTTCTCGCTGTTTTCCAACAGATGGTGTTACCAGAACTGCGTGCGTGTAATTTAAGATGGTAACGCATCTATAGGGAAGTACTATAAGCAAGCTTGAAATTCAGTGTATGTCATTGCCGAAGTGTAAACAACTTTTTTTTTTCATAGTGTTAACGTGTCGAGTTTCGTGCCAAAAAAAGAGTATTTGTGGGGAATTTTACTGCACTACTTTATTCAAAAAAAATCTGCAGCTGAAGCACACAGAATTCTTGTTGATACTTACGGCGACCATGCTCTGTCGGAAACAACATGCAGAGATTGGTTTAGACGCTTCAAAAATAATGATTTTGATGTTGAAGATAAAGAACGCTCTGGCGCACCGAAAAAGTTTGAAGACGAAGAATTGGAGGCATTACTTCATGAAGACTCATGTCAGACGCTAGATGAACTTGCAGAATCATTAGGAGTTGATCACAACAGTTTCGAAACGTTTGAAAGTATTGGGAATGATTCAAAAGCAAGGACATTGGGTGTCATGCGAGTTGAAACCGAGAGACGTCGAACGGCGTCTTTTCACGTGTGAATAGCTGCTTCAACGGCAGAAAAGGAAAGGTTTTTTGCATCGTATCGTGATGGCGATGAAAAATGGATACACTACGATAACCCTAAGCGTAGAAAATCATGGGATAAGCCCGGCCATACATCAACATCGTTGGCAAAGCCGAATATCCATGCTTCGAAGCTTCTGCTCTGCATTTGGTGGGATCAGCTGGGTGTAATTTATTATGAGCTGCTCAAACCGAACGAAACCATCACAGGAGATCGCTCTCGACTACAATTGATGCGTTTGAGACGAGCATTGAAGGAAAAACGGCCGATATACGAGCAGAGACACGACAAAGTGATTTTGCAACATGACAACGCTCAGCCGCATGTTGCAAAACCGGTGAAAACCTACTTGGAAACGCTTAAATGGGAAGTCCTACCCCACCCGCCGAATTCTAGACATTGCCCCTTCTAATTATTACTTGTTCCGATCGATGGCACATGGCCTGGCTGACCAGCACTTACATTCTTATGAAGATGCCAAAAAATGGGTCAACTCTTGGATAGCCTCAAAAGACGTGTCGTTTTTCCGACGTGGAATTCAAATGCTGCCAGAAAGATGGAAAAAAGTAGTGGCTAGCGATGGACAATATTTTCAGTGACATATTTTTTACGACTTTTTTAAAATAAAGCATTAATTTTCACGAAAAAACAGCGAGAACTTATTCAAGGTCCCAATATATAAAAGCGTTCAGTTGTTCCTTAGACATTAAAATTAAAATTTGATTAAATAAAAAATAGATTTGGGCTAGATGATATCTTTCGAAGGTGGAGGCCCCACAAAAGGGTGGAACCCACTGTATCCACGGGTATATATTTTATTTTGACTCTCGCAGAGAGTGAACTTTGCTTCGCCTTGCAAAATACACGCAAGGTCCACACCATTTCTGAGTCAGCACATTAAAATTTGTGTTATTCATATTGTGTTATTTATATAAATCCTTTTAATCCTTAATTGTTAAAATTATTAAGGAAGAACTTCTAACCTACAATTATCAAATAAAAATCTTACAAATTTATTTTTTATGTAATTATAACAACGATTAATTTTTTAAATCATGACACACTTAAATATAGAAACTTATAAATAGAAAACTTATAAATAGAAACTATATTTCAAACTTTATACTGTACAAAATATTATAAATTATGTTTAGAAGCAATTGATTATGATTTTTTATAAGTGTGTTACCATCTTTTTTTTCTTGATTAATTTAATTCGTATTCTACTTTTAGACTGTACCAGATTTTTGGATGATGGATTTATTTATAGTTCAAATTCAACATGAATTACTTAATCTCAATAATTATGTCAATTTAAGTTCTATAGAATATGAAGACAATACTAACAATTATATATACACTTTTCTTTCTCATGTTAAAGATATGCACATACATAACATTGTATAAATAAAGAAACAAATAAGTTATAATTTAATATTATAAAGAAATCAGCATCATAAAGAAATGTCAATATCATAAAGAAATAAGAAAAATCAATTATAAACAAAGTTATTTGTAATTCGCAGTTAATTAATTTATTATTATTTTATAGTATTTTATTACAAATTAATTCTTACTTTAACAATAAGAAAAAGGTTTCGAAAACTTAAAACCAATTTCCTTATATTGTTTTCAATTATAACTGCACATGTTACAATTGTAAAATATATGAAAAGACATAAATATGATTTTGTATAATGATCTAATTAATTAAATTTAAATATATTTAATCATAAATATATTTATCCTTTGATAGATATATTCGACAATTGTAATTACTGTATACATAGTATACTGTATTTCAGAAAATAGGCTTTATTTTTTAGAGTATGTAAATAGTTCGTTAATGTCAATATTATTAAATTATTTTATTGCGCGGTAATTCGTCTCCATAAAGTTTATTTCTATTACATAGTCTCTTTATCAGAATAATCATAGCATTTCGATTGATAAGAATGTATTCAATATCTTGCATAAAATCTATTTAAATAAATTTATGGGCATTATGATACTTGTCATGATTATGTCTATAATCCCTATAATAAAATTGAATGTTATATCTGCATAACAGGAAACTTTTTTTTGATCTCACATTTTTATATGAAGTTATAAATGATTGCACTGATTGTTTTGATAACACATAATAATATTACTCAATATGCATTTACTGTGAAAATTTTTTAGCTGAGCTTGCTTTTTCATGTAAGTTTCATCAAAATCTATATATGGTCTGTGGCGTCCCTGACGCTCGCCACATCGAGCGCGGTCTCAGGAAGCGCTGACCGGCGTAATGAAGTTGGCGCAATCTCAATATATAATTAATCTCAATTATAATTAATGCCGCTGAAGGGCGCGACAGATTAAGATAATTTTCTCGCTATTGAAAAATATTGGAAAGTATATACGAGGGTGAATCAAATATTAACCGGACTTTCCTTTTCAACGCTTCTTAGGTGAAGTGAGTAATGATATATGTTGAGTGGGGATGTAAAGTGGAGGGGAGTAAGTTGGTTTGGCTCGCCAGAACAGATCGGCTGTCAGTAGCATCATGTCAGAGCAAGAAGTGCACACGTCTGTTGAGCAACGCATAATTATTAAATTCCTGTCGCGGGAGGGCGTAAAACCTGTTGAAATCTTGTGAAGACTAACTAAACAGTTCGCTGAAAAAACTCTTTCAAGGACCCAAGTCTACGACTGGCACAAAAAATTTTCCGATGGCCGAAAGTCAGTGCAAAATGAGACCCATGCACGCCGACCACGGACAAGCATCAGTGAGACAAATATTGTTGCGATCCGTGAGATGATTGAAGAAGACCGCCGCCTTACAATATCGGAAATTGCTGCACATGTCGGAATATCGTATGGGAGTGCCCAATCACGTTCGTGCGCAATTGGTTACAGAAGCGACCAGATTCATTCTTTGATGACGGCATTAAAAAGCTTCCAATTCGATGGGAAAAATGTGTAAATAAAAAAGAAGATTATATAGAAAAATAAAGTATATCCACAATTGTATTTACTGTACCCATAAAATTTCGAAAAATAAAGTCCGGTTAATATTTGATTCACTCTCGTAAAAGAAGATGCGGTCAACGACTTTCCAACCATCTTGTAACCTTGCAGAAATAGCTTCTAGCTACTCAGCGAATAATTTTTTGTCCTTTTTGAAAACCCTTGCGTATACCTTATCACCGAGACCTTCCAGATCCTCGGAATCCTCGAGATCTTCCTGATCACCGAGACCTTCCAGATCCTCGGAATTCTCGAGATCTTCCTGATTACCGAGACCTTCCAGATCCTCGGAATCCTTGAGATCTTCCCGATCACCGAGACCTTCCAGATCCTCGGAATCCTCGAGATCTTCCTGATCACCGAAGCCTTCCAGATCCTCGGAGTCCTCCTGATCATCGAGACCACCAAAATCTTGAGATCTTCCGAGACCTTCCAGATCTTCGGATTCTGCAAGATCTTCCAAATGACAACAGATCCTCGGAAGATTATTCAATTTCTTCCCTGGAGACTGATCCCTATAGACCTTTTTGAGAGGACATTCTCCCCGGTTCCTGCAACGCCTCGTTCCTCTCCGCCAAGAATACCTCGTTCATCGAACAAACGATCAAGAGGAACCCAGACTGAACCCTACAATAGCAGAGGAGAAAGACTAGGAAAATTGAAAGTAACTAAGTCTTTGCCAAGATTAACTTGGCGACCAAAAGTTGTAAAAAAATAAGAAATGAAATAAAATTTTGTTGATAAAAATTCTACAAACTGGTGACGCCGATATGGACGGAGATAACCAACATATTGGCCGCCTTGAATAAAAGCACCTCCTTTCTGGCCAGAGGAACCAGAACTCTAGTTCGCACAACTTGAAGGACAATTTGCACTAGGAGGAATAAACGCAAGACGCAACAAAATATTTATACGTTATAGCGCATATTGGGACCAAGTACGCTCGGGAAGTAAGAGACATAATCACACAACCCCCGGAAAGTACGAAGCAATAAAAAAAGCACTAATACAACGACTAATGATTACTCAAGAACAACGGACCCGCCAGTTACTAGAGCATGAAGAATTTGGTGATAGAAAACCGCAGTTCTTACGGTACTTACGAACACTTGCCGGAACAAATGTACCACAACAACTCCTCCGTACTTTATGGATAGGACGATTGCTCTCACAAATGCAAATCATACTCACGACAAGGACCGAAGGCTTAAGGAAGTTGCTGAACAAGCCGATCGAATAGCCGAAGTAACTAGCCGATCAGTAGCAGCCACTGCAAACAGCACCACTGAAAAGCAAACTTTGGAGGACCAAATTAAAAAACTAACTGAACAAATTGCAAAATTAAATGACAGGCAATTTAATCGCTCAAAAAGTCCAGAAGGCGATCACAGAGTAAATCTCAGAGTCGAGCAAATCAAGAGAACGAAGAAATGTTATTACCATCGACGCTTCGGAAGCAAAGCAAATAAATGCCAACAACCCTGCAAGTTTAAGGAAAACGAGGAGGGGAGTCATTAATGGCGGCGAATGACTCGAATCCACATACCTGCCGCCTCGTAATCACGGACATTAAAACTAAAGTCTCATACCTTATACACTCCCCAGCAAAAAAAGCGGTACACTAAAAATTTAGAAAAAATTTACCAAACTTCAAACGCTTGTAAAACAGGAAATATTTATGATACGGGGGTGTTTAAAAAACGAAATTAAAGCTTGAAGCCAGTACTTTGAGACACTTTTAATGCCGATTAAGTGGCGTGCTTAATTTACTAATGGTCGATGACAGAACGAAAACTTGCAAAATCAATAAGTACAACGTGCAATTTCTAGAGTTGTGTGGAGTGAAGCAGTTGACGTAACTCAATGAAGTAAAAAGCGCGTGAAAGTTCGAAATTTTCTCTTCAAAATGCGCTTTTGCGGAACTCGATACAATAATTTTTCGCTAAGTTATGCCAATCTGAAGAAAAAGTGTTTTTTACGAGATAATAATGAATTATGAATTGTAATGTCGCCGTGTGTGTGTGTGTGTATTTGCACACCACAAGGATAAGGACCCCGTGGTTCGTCAACTCCACAGTATTTAAAGACTCCAAACCCTCCTTATGGTGTGTGTGTACGTGCGCGCACATGTGCACTAATAATGGGTATGACTTCCTCGTGCGCGTATTATTTCATTCATACGATCAGATACTGTCTCAAGCGATTGTTCGGAAACACTTTAAATACTGTGAGAGTTGACGAACCACGGGATCCTTATCCTTGTGGTGTGCAAATACACACACACACACACACACAGATATGTTTTCAGACTAACAACATAGCTTGGACAGAATTGTGGTGATTTGCATTCATAACGGCGGCATTACAATTCATAATTCATTATTATCTCGTAAAAAACAC